GGGTCGGCCCGCGCCCGCCTCCCCTGCGCGCACCGACACAGCATCAGGCCGCGCGCCCGGGCCGCCGCCTCGCCCGCGGCGCCCTCCTCCCGCCGGCCCCTGGCCCGCGGCCGTAGCCCCTCGCCCACCGCCCCCGCCCCGCCCCCTGCCCGGCCGCCGGCTCCGCCCCTCGCAGGTGAGGCACCGCCCCGCCCGTCAGCCCGCGGGGCCTCAGTTTCCCCGCCCGCAGCTGCGAGGGTGGGGCTGCGGGGCCGCCGGTCGGACGCCTGAGGGGCCGCCCGGAGTCGGGAAGCCACGGAGGTTAACGGGCAGCCGGCCTCACGGCCCCGCGCTGCTGGAGGGCCCCCGACCGCCCCCACACCCGGGCCCCAGCCCCTCCGGCTCCTGGCGGCCGAGACCTTGGGAAAGTGCCTCCTCCTCCTCCCGGAACCCCGGCCCGCAGCTCTGTCAAGGGTGGTGCGGGCCGCCCCGCCTCCCGGGGCTGAGCTGGAGTTGAAGCGGGGCTGGCTGGCGAGTTTCCCCTCGCCCCGCACCCCGGGGCGCGAGCACTCAGGCTCCCGGGCGGGGCTGCTGGTCCTCCCTCGTTCCTCCCCCGTGGCCCCCTCTGGGCGGGCTGCGTCGCCTGTCTGACCCGGGATTCCTTGCAGGGGTCAGGGCTCCGGTCCTTGGCACCTCCACCTGCCTGGAAGGATGTGGGCACCTCTCCCAGGAGCCTCCTAGGCTGGCTACAGGCTGGCCTCCCAAGCATGCTGACCTCCACTTGCATACAGGCTGCCACCGAGATGGGCCACCTGCAGCAGAGGGCGGGTCTAACAGCTTCCGCCCTGCTCCCACCCAGCGGGAGGTCCCTGGTTTCCAGGCCTCTGCCTCAGGCCAGCGCTCTGGCCCCTTCCCGCTGCAACCAGCCCCTGCCTCTCAGGCCTCTACAGCAGCCCCCCTACACAGAGGCTCCAGCCAGCCTCCGTGCCTGTTCCCAGTGCCCTTGCCAACCCCACGCCCCCAGCATTCCCAGCCCTCTAGGCTGCCTCCTCGCAGCCCCCTGCCTGTACACGCCTCCACCACTTCCGGGCAGCCCCACCCCACCTCCTCTCCTCAAGTCCCTCCCTGGCCTCCAGTCTCTTTCCTCCATCACCCTCCCCTCAGCACAGGCTCCAGCACACATGCCATGCCCATCACTGCTCTGTTCTAAAGCTCCAGGACCTGCTCATGTCCAGCTGGCCCTTTCGGATCCAGCCCCTGTGGACCTTTCTCACGGGCTGCCCTCCAGCCCTCCACCTCCCGTGTGTGTGCCTGCACCAGCCAGGCCCGTGGCTCCTGTTACTCAAATCCACCGCACTCCCCCCTTCAGGCCTCTGTCCACACTGTTCCCACTGCCTGCTGTTACAACTGAACTAACTCACCCTCAAGAGTTGGTTCAAATGAACACCAGTCCTTCACAAACTCTTCCCAAAACCGAAGAGCAAGGCATTCATTCTAAGAGGTCAGTGTGGGCTTCCCTGGTGGCACAGTGGTTGAGAGTCCGCCTGCTGATGCAGGGGACACGGGTTCGTGCCCTGGTCCGGAAAGATCCCACACGCCGCGGAGCAGCTGGGCCCGTGAGCCGTGGCCGCTGAGCCTGCGCGTCCGGAGCCTGTGCTCCGCAGCAGGAGAGGCCACAACAGTGAGAGGCCCACGTACCGCAAAAAAAAAAAAAAAAGCTATGCAGGTTGCGAAGGAAAAAGTAAAACTATTCAAAGATTAGATGATTAGAAACTCCAAGGGATCCACTAAAGAAAGAATAATTAGAACTGATAAGCTCAGCAAGGTGGCAGGATACCAGATGGATACACCAAAATCAGTCCTATTTCTCTACACTACCAACGAACAATCCAAAAATGGAAGAGGTTTAACTCAAGTGCCCCCTCTTTCAGGTGGTCCCACCAGCTCAGGCCCAGCACACAGGGGGCACCCAGGCAGTCCCAAAGGTGTAGAACGTTGACCCCGCTGGGTGCTGGGGACTGCAGGTTGCCTGGAAGGCGCAGGAAGCTGAAACAGAGCCCCACCCTGCTCCATCGCCTCCTCCCCCATCTGTAAGGAGACCTGGCATCTGTGTGGGGCAGGGGGTGCCAGAGGCAGAGCTGAGGACTGATGGGGCCCACCCCTCCTCCTGGCTCCACACCTGAGCGAGCATGGGGAGGAGCCGGGGCTGCCAGCGGTACCACCTTGGTCAGCTCGGTGGCCAGGCAGGTGCAGGCCTGTGAGGGGTTCAGTCTCACCTGGCCTCCGTCCCTCTGCGGGCAGGAGGAGGGCTCTTGGGTGTCCATGGGCTGACCTTGGGTGGGGAGGGTGGGTTGTAGCAGGCCTGGTCGTGTTCCACCTTCACCTCCCCTGGGAATGTCCCTGCTTCAGGGACAGACACCGACATCCACCACCCTTCTCTAGAAGATGGACCATCGAAGGGGAAGCTCATCCTGATGGCCGGATCCTCTGGCCGCCCAGCCCTGCCCTGCACCACTGGGTGAGCTGGGTTGGGACCCGCCCAGGAACACAGTGCCAGGCACGCTCCCCAGTCTCTGCTCCGTGCCCACCCCCACCCTCTCTCTCAGCTGAGACTGGTCTGTGTGACCCAAGGCCCGAGGCTGCAGGGGTGAGGACAGAACAGGCCGGGGAAAGCCGCTCTTTTACACAGAGACAGCCCCGTTCGTTGGGCTCCAGGAAGCGCAGGCTCTGTGGCTTCCACTTGCCTTGGGGCTGCGGGCCTCTGGGCGTGTGGTCACACCCCCTGCACAGGCCCACACATGAGCCGTGGCTCCGCACACTCGGTCACTGTCACAGACGGTGCACCCAGACAGGATGTGTGCATGAGCCACACGGCCCGAAGGCAGAAGGTTCTGTTTGTGCACGTCAGTGTGTGTGCACACGTGTATGTACCGGTGTGAGCCTGTGCACCAGGTTGCCTGGAAGGCGCAGGAGGAAGGCAGGGTTCCCTCGGCTCATGACCCGCAGGTGCGGTCTTGGCTGTGGTGAGGGAGCTGGCACCTCGTGGGACCACAGGGTTGGGGTTCCGTCAGTGGTGACCAGACCGCCCATGTGTGGGAGCTGCAGGGTGAGGGGGGTCTGGGGGGGGTCCCAGCCCCGAGGGAGAAGAGACCAGGTCCCCCAGTGCACTCACTCATACCTATGCACACACTCATTCATCATAGGCCTGCATGCATGCTTACACACTCATGCCTGAAGACACACTCTCACATACCCACATATAATCATATGTGCACACGTACACACATGCACTCGCACATACACATGTACTCGCTCACACAGGCTCACACGCATACGTATGCACACACTCATCGCACATGTACACGCTCACATTCATTCTTATACATGCACTCATTTTTACACATGCCTGCTTATACTCAAATGTACTCATACACACACACTGACTCACATGTATATTCACACACTCACACACACACACACACACACACACACACACACTCTCCAGGGGCTAGCAGGACCTTTCATGGGTGGCCCCAGTGCCCTGGGCAGGCAGCTTGGGCACAGGTCCGAGTAATCATCACTACCTCGCAGCCCTGCACTGGTCCAGAACCAAGTCTGACCCGACAGCTCATTAAACCCCACAGGCGTTGCTTTACCTCCATCTCACAGACTAGGACACTAATAAACAAGCTCAGCAAGTCGTCAACTCGCATGGAGCACACCAGGCACTCACCGTGGGGACCAGACTGTATGCTTCTCGAGGACCACCCCACGTCACCATCCTAACACCCCATGACGTGTGAACCTGTGTCACCCCCACGTCACTGATGAACACACCGAGGCTCAGAGAAGCTGAATAACTCAGAAGTCATACAGCCAGTGAATAGTGGAGCGCTCAGCCTGTCCCGCCCGGCACAGAGCGGGCGCTAGGTGGCGCTGGAGGGGCGGGGCCCCAGCGCCTCTTGGTTCCGTCTCTCCTTTCAGTTTCTCCTCCCCCTTCCACTTCCCAGAATCTTTCTCCATAAAAGAATGAAAACCAAAAATCTCCAATGACGAGGCCGGTGACGAGCCATGCCAGAGGCAGGGAGGGAGGCACGACCTGGGCTGGGGTCCCTGAGACCCTGAGGCTCTTCGGCTCCCTGCCAGGCCCCCCAGCACTGCGCTCCCAGGTCAGGCAGGCAGTGGGAGCTCACACAGCTCTCCGTGTCCCCACAGTGCAGGCACGGTCACACTGACACACCGTCACACTCACACACGCACACATACAATGTGTGCACCCAGGACCCAAACGCCAAGGCCACCCAGGCAGGGCAGCACATGACCAGGGGGCGGGGTTGTCCTCTCTGGGCTCCCACTTGCCCCGTCCAGCTGAGGGCTCTCCTCTCGGCGGCCCAGGGTCAGCGTCCTGGGCGCCCCACCGCGGGCCCCGTTGAGGGGGGTTCTGACTCCTCACGGGGACTCCCTGAGCGCCTCTACAGATGCTGGCCCGGCACCACCTCCCGAGCCCCCAGCCCCAGGACCGCCCTGCTGACCTGGTGGCACTGACCCAGCACATGACTGTCTTCCTGCCTGGCGACGGCTTGGGGTTAGGTGTCCTGGGGCCCAGGAAGGCCATGTGGCTCAGGGGCCACGGGGCGGGCCTTCAGCCGGCCTCCCCCAGGCAGGCGCGGTGCAGTGCCCCGCGCAGCCCAGAGTGCCGGGCCGGCGACGCCCGCGGAGCCTCCTGCTGACAGCTGCCTGCCGCATCTGGGGCCCGTGGCCTCGAGGGCTTCCTCCCCGCCCAGGGCTTCCTGTTGCCGGGCCCCCGGGCAGCCCCGGGTAGCCAGAACTTCCTGCCTTCCACCCTTTGAGGTCCTGAGGCCCAGCACTGTGCCCAGTCAGTGCCGTGTGGCCTGCTGGCTTTGGGCCACGCCCCCTGTGGCCAGAGACCACAGGTCGCCAGGCCCCGGGATGAGGCCAGCTATGCTCCCGGGAGGCAGCTCCCTGCCGGTCCCCCCCCCAGGGCCACCTCTGTACGTCTGACTTCTTCCCAGAAAATCGCTGAAACCCCAAAGCCCAGGGCGCCAGGCCCGTCCTCCCTGACCCCAGAGACAGCCACACAAGAAGTCGGTGCTTACGCCCCGCACGC